GTGCGCGAGCTCGGGCGGGCTGCGGCCCGCGCAGCGACTAGCCTCGGAGAGGTGACTCCGACGACTGCGACGGGGGGCACACCGCAGGCCGGGGCCAGGCCGGCCCGCCCCGACGGCCGCGGATGCAGGCCACACCTGATGGGCCTGCTTTCCACCACCGCCATGAGTTGGAGGGGTGAGGAGGTGCTTCTCCTCTTCCTCCTCCTCCTCCTCCTCCTCCTACTCCTCCTCCAACTCCTCCTCCTCCTCCTCCTCCTCCTCCTCGTCCTCCTCCTCCTCCTCGTCCTCCACCTCCTTCCCCCTCCAACTTCTGCTGGTGGTGGTGGAAAGCAAGCCCATCATACCCTCCTCCCTCCTTGCTCCAAGAATGGCTTCTCCCTGTCGCACCACCAGACGTGTCGGCAGAGCGTGCCGGGCGTTCCGCCCGAGACTTCCTCGCGACTCATGATCCTGAGGACTGAAGTTTACGGTAGCTCCACGGACGGGACGGAGGGCGGGTTGTGGTCAAAACGTGGCTCTCGCTTGGGCGCCGCGCACACTCGTCTTCAGCGTTCACAGCAACTTCCAGGACAGAGGGCAGGTCCCTTGCAGAATGTGGTTGTCGCCTTACCGCCGCGCGCATCCGTCTTGAAAGTATGCAACGCGAAGGGCAGTTCCTTGGCAAATGTGGCTTTCGCCTGGGCGCCGCGCACGCTCGTCTTAAAAACAAATTGCAAGAGCACTGCACGGATCGAGGGAGGGCATTTCTCAAGGCGAGGTTCTCGCCCGAGCCCTGGCCACGCTCGCCCCTAGACATCGCAACGTGGACGACGGTTTCTGTTCAAAGTGTGGCTCGCGCCCGAGCGCCGCGCACGCGCGTCTCAAACGTTGGCAGTAGCTTCGTGGGTGGAGGGCGGCTCGTGTGAGAAGTGTGGCTCCCGCCTCGGCGCAGGGCACATTCGTCCTAACAGTTTGCAGCGTGGATGGCGGTTGCTTTTCAAGCTGTGGCTCTCTCCTGAGCACCGCGCATCCTCGTCTGAAACGTTTGCAAGAACTTCACAGATGGATGGCGGCTCCTTTGAAACATGTGGCTCTCGCCTCAGCGCCGCGCACATTCGACTGAAGAGTTTGCAAGATTCTTGTTAAAGGATTCGTATGGCTGAAGCCCCACAATCGGAGTTCTAGCATGAGTTTGGATCGTCAGGGAGCAACTGTATCGTTGATTCGCGGCGTTGAAGTCTCAGGAACAGTGGTCTGGCACGGCTTCAGATTGCCAGGACGCAGTGTTCATGTTGATTCGCGGCGGTGAAGCTCCAGGAACGGTGAGTATTCACACACGCGTCTTCCAATGAAGCACGCCCCGCAGCGAAGAACAATCTTGTAGGGGCCCACGGCGAGAAAACTTGGAGGCTTAGGAGTTATTGCAACATCCTTGATGCGTCTTGGGTCACCACTGGTCTTACTCCTCCTCCTCCTCCTCGTCCTCCTTCGCCGTCCCCCAGGCCGCACCCCACCTCCGCTCCTCCCTCCCCGTTCCCCCTCAAGGAAGCCTCTGGAAACCTCTGGAAGTCTCCAGGGGCCCAGGGAGGCCCAACCACGGCCACGAGCCAAAAGCCCTGATCCTCGCAGTCCTCGATCCTCCATTGGGGGATCAAGCAGATACCGATCCTCCTGCGTGCACGTTGAGGCCCACGCCAAAGTGGCTCGAGGCGGGTCCACGGCCATGCCTTTCGACTGTGACCGAGCCCTGCAGTCGTGCCTCGGCGGCCCAGCGCTGCCGTGCCTTGTGGCAACGAGGAGGTGCGCTGCCAAGCCCATCGCGACTGATTGCTTTGACGCGTGCACGAGGTTTTAGGTCGGGCATGTCCTCCTGCAGGCGGGTTTTTGACGAAAAATCGCAAATACCCCCAAAATACTCAGACAGAGTTAAGGCATACTCCAAACATCGTCCCCAGACTGTGTTTTGACTACTTCTGAGTCTTCTCCCTGTCGAGGGGCAGGCCCGGCTTGAACCTAAGCCGTCGGAGGCCCGGACCGGCGCTGGGACCTCCCCCCCCCCCGGCGCGCGGAGCGCGCGCCAGGGGGCGTCGCCTCTGGAGGCGCCGCGAGGGGGTCCGGCTCAGGGCCCAGCACTTCGCGCGGGCCTCCGAAGGCTCAGGTTCGTGTCGTGAGCTCTGCCTCGAGGGGTTGGCCAGGATGGGGGGGGGAACCAGGAGGTACCGATGGCGCTGCCCCCCGTAGGGTCTCTCCCAGGGTGCGTTCCGACTGGGAGTTCGAGGGGAATCCAGCCTGTGGCGACGAGGGCCTCTCAGGAGGCCAAGGAAGGAGGAAAAGGGGCGAAGGGTAGAGGTATGGGGACCTTTTCCTTCTTTGAAGTATGGGGGCGATTCGTCGGGGTCCCGTTGATCTGCATGGTGCAGGGCCCGCTCTTGGGATGCTGGGTCGTTCTCGAGCTGCAGCCCTCTAAGTGCGGACCTCTCCTGTGCCCGATGTCGGCCACGTGACCGCCGAAGTGTTCGGTCGTGGCAGCTTGAAGAAGCACATTCTCAGTGCGCTCAGTCCGTATAGGTCTTTGCTATTCAGTCTGATATTTGGATGAGGTCGGGCCTGTCCCCCTACAGGGGGATCTTGGGAGAAACATGAAAATACTCACAAAATATTCAAAACATGCTCAAAAATAATCCCCAAGAGAAATCTTCCCCTGACTATTTGCTTTTACTATTTTTGAATATCCCCCCCGAAGAGGGACGGGCCCCACTGAACACTTGGAGGAGCTCCCTTCCTGTGCCTCCTCTGCGGCCCGTCCTCAGGGCAGGCGGGCCTCTGGCACGGGGGTCACGAGCCCGTCTACTAAAACCTTCCTCCGCGACGGCACTGCGGGGCTGCAGGCTCGAGCCCCTGCCGGCGCGCTGTGAGTGTGCCTCCCTGTGCTTCTTCCCCAGGCAGTGCATGCACTTGGGTCGGGCGTTGGTAGAACTGGGTTTAGTGGAACCTGGTTTAGTGATCTGTACCCGGGGCGCCCCCCCGTCCCATTTCCACGAACCGGAACTGCCGTCACCCGAAAAAACACCAGCCGTGGCAAACCTGGCTTAGTGATTCTGGCCAATTCGAAAGGCTCCGGGGCCCTACCACTAACTGGGTCCCCTTACCCGGAGTCCCGGCCATACCCGATTGGGGGTTCTTACATCCCTTCCAGGGAGCTGGTACCGTCTGCGGGCCTGGCGTACCCTGGCGGCCAGGTTCCCGTCCGTCGCCGCCGCGCGTGTCCAAACGCAGAGCCCGTCGGCGGGCCCGGCGGCCGCGTCCCCGTCCGTCGCCTCTCCACTCAGCTGTTACACCGCATGGCTCACACCACGCAGATTGCACCGCAGAGCTCACACCACGTACGTAGTTTGCGTCACGTAGCCTACACCACATGACTTGCACGACGTGGCCTGCACCCCGTAGATTCCACAATATAAGATCCACGGCATAGCTTGCAGGACACGGCACACACACAACCTAGTATGCACCAGACAGATTGCACCACCTAGTTTGCACAACATAGCTCACATCGCATATAGCTTGGACAACATAGCAAGGACCACCTAACTTGCACCACGCAGCTTCCACCATGTAGATGTCGCCACATGGATTACACCGCATGGTTGCACTACAAAGCTTACACACCCAGAGTACAATATGCGTTTGCTTGGAGTCCACGCTGGCTGCTAACAGGTGCTAGAGTGGTGATAATGCCCTACGTCAAGCCGTTCGGTGAGGGCTACTGTAACAGCTACTATCCAACTCCTTTTGCAGTTCGCAAATGTGTCAGTAAGGGTCTTAATTCGAGGAGCACGAAATTGTTGTGGTGTCGCCTCCCTGCCTTGGGCGCCATGGTGAAGGCAAACTACCCTGCGCTACATGCGCAAAGGCTTCGGTTCTTCTCTCTATAGGTCATACACTCGGCGCAGGCACTGTTCCTCCGAGTCTCCGTCGCACGCCCAAGTATGTATCAGCAGGTCTGTGTGGAATCTGACCTCCCACGATCCTAAGCCTGGCGGTTGGCCTGGCGTTCGAGTCATTGCCGCCTTCTCTATGCATGACTTTGCCGCGTTGCTCCACTCCACTCCGCTCCGCTCCACCGCCTTCTCCTCCTCCTCCTCCTCCTCATCTCCTCCTCCTCCTCCTCCTCCTCCTCCTCCTCCTCCTCCTCCTCCTCCTCCGTCCTCCTCCTCCTCCTCCTCCTCCTCCTCCTCCTCCTCCTCCTCCTCCTCCTCCTAGTTGGCATTCTGGCTCACGCGCCGCCGCCGCTGGGTCGCCCCGCCGACCCGCCGCCTCGCCGATGCCGCCGACGACCGACGCCCGCTCCGCGAAGGCGACGCTGGACGCTGCGCGCGGCGCAGTGCTGGCGACGCACGCGGCGGCTGGGCTTGCGAGCGGCCAGCGGGAGGCGGTACGCCTCATCCGCGCCGCCGAAGGCCTGCTGCGCACGGCGGTGGCTGCGCTCGCCACGCCCTCCTCCCCCGCGCTCGTCGCGGCGCCCCTGGCGGATCCAGCGGCTTCCTCGCGCAGGAGGCGGCGGCCCCGCGGCCGCGGCGGCTCGAAGGGCGGGGACGAGAACGGCAAGCACTACATCGTCGCTGACGGCATGGACATCGACAAGGGGTCGGCGGGCGAGGTGGCCACGGGGGCTGGCGCCCCGCCTCAGCCGATGCTGGAGGACGACGCTTGGGCCGACGAGCTGCCCGTGGTGATGCAGGCTCGTGGCCCGCCTGCCAGCACAGACCAGCGCGAGGGCAAGGGCAAGAACGCGGGCAAGGGCGGCGAGAGCGGCGGCAAGGGCAAGCTTGGCCACCTCGAGGTGTGGCAGCTGAGGAACCTCGTCGTCCGCCTGCGGGAGCGCGCTGGGCTGCCTCCCGCTCCCGAGACGGCCCCCTTCGACCACGGCGTGCTGGTCGCAATGGCCGTCGAGCTCGAGGAGTTGGCGGCCTCGTCCGACGGCACGCGTGGCGGGGGCTCCGGAGCGGCTGGTGGCCGTC